TTTCATTTCAAACTGACCTGTTACTGATGTTATGGTGGTCCACATTAATGACCCTAACCCTAACCCTAACCCTAACTCTAACCCTAACCCTAACCCTGACTCTAACCCTGACTCTAACCCTAACAATAACCCTAACCCTGGAGAGACAGGAGAGGGAAGAATGGTGGGTTAACAGAAACACCGGCTTTAGACCAGTGCTTCTCAGTTATTTTCTGTTACGCCCCCCCTAGCAAGAAGAAAACTATTCGCGCCCCCCCCCCCACTCCCCACTGTGACTATACATCTCTGCACAACATTTAATCCTTATTAACATTAAAGAAAAGAAAAAAGAAAGACATATGGTCAAACTTACAACTTTATTAAATCGTGTTTTAAGTCTGCGACAGAAATGGTTTTAAATGCATCAATGCCTGAAATAAAAAATGAATAAATCTTTGTTTAAACTGTAAACATGTTTGACCAACTAATTGCACCATTGCAAAATTTAATAATTATAATAACTAATAAACTACAGAAACAACAAAAATAATAACTAATTTATATTCAGTTAAGCAACATTAACTCAGGAGCACCATATATAAAACTCTTAGCTTTCGGGTGACTTTCTTTTGTCTCGTTATCTTTGTCTTTCTCCGCTTTTCTTTTCATCCCCGTTAAAAACTTTTTCATGTTGGGGGGGTGTTATATTGAATAACGGAGGCTATAGACAGAAGGCAGTCAGAGCTTTTTCTGTTGACTCAGCACTGCTAACCGAGGCTAAGCTGTCGTATTTAAGTCGTAAAATGTTGCACTGCCCCTAGTGGAGTGGATGCGCAATTACACTTTATACCAGTACGGCCCAAATAAAGCCTGTTCCCGACTATTTGAGAAGCACTGGTTTAGAGAGAGCCTCAGAGTTTTACAGTGGTTCCTCTTTTTCTCTCCTCAGGCTTTAAGGAGGCAGACGTGAGCGAGAACAAGCTCCTCAACAGCAAACTCTTCATGCTGGACATGCTGTACGCCCAGAACAAGAAGCCCAGTGAGGAGGAGGAGGAGGAGGGGGAGGAAGAGGGGGAGGAAGAGGGGGATAAAGAGAAGGAGGAGGGGGAGGGGGAGGAGGGGGGGGGGGGGCAGCAGGCCGAGGACCCCCGAAAGGGAATCCGACCTTTGGCCGAACGCTTTGGGGACCTGATCCGGGACCTGAGCTCAGCCCAGGAGGCCCCCCCCACCCCCCC